GTGACGTGTCAGTCCATATTCTTTATGGAAATATGCTTATGATATGAATGTGACATAACTGAGATATACTTTATGCAAGATGGCTCATGTGAGATATTACTGGAAAGGTTATCATTTACTGAACGTGATTATCCAATTTGTATGCCTGTATCAGTTCTGTATCTGAAGTTAGGAATACTGACTATGTATCTGTATTTCAACTATGCTACTTTGGGTGATGCCCCAGCTAACACTTCAGGTAAAACAATGAAAAAGCCAGACAGCGCTGATGGCCCATCAGCAAGAGACAATGGACAGTAAAAGAGCTTTGTCTTCCTGTGAACATGTGGATCAGCCTGTGAAGAATGGCTACAGGGGCGCTACAGGGCCCTACAGAGGCATATGACCATGTCACCTGGTACTGGAACCCATCTTGAATTCTGTACTTTTCCAGGAGAAGATGGGGAGGGGGGTCAAACTAGGAAACAAAGGACTCCCGCCTTATGCAAAATCCTATTTAAGGGTGGGGAGTAAGGTAATCCAGGCAATCAATTTTCCCCTGCTACCCCACCCAAGATGATTACTGGAAACAACTAAGACTGAACTGGGGGAAAGAACTGGACCCAGGCTGGAATGGCGTCTGGCCTGTGAAGAAGATTATTAGAACCATATTTAGGGTGAGAATTTACATGTAACCAGTTTCTTTAGTGTATTAAGCTTAGTTTGTGTGCTCTGTTTTTATTTTCTTAGTAATCTGCCTTGTTCTGTCTGCTACCTCCTTAACTACTTAAAATACACCTGTTATAGTTAAAACATTTATTTCTGGTTTAGAATATAACCCAGTTTATGTGATTTCTAACTCAGAGGGCGAGAAGTTGTGCAGACCCTCCTTCTCATTGAGGAAAGAGACCAATTTCATACAATTTTGGGTTTGTACTCCAAGGGGAAGGGGAGGTGAACATCTGGGTACTGTGGCAAGCTCCTTAAACTGAGCCTTCGCAGAGCCAATCTCTGTCTCTCTGTGCAGCTGGGTGTGGCCCTGTGGGTGTGCTTGGCTGGAAAAGGCTGGGGAGCCTAACACAGCAAGACCAGGTAAAGGGGGCCCAGGCTGGCAGAAGAGTCTGACTCAGTGGCGTCCCAGCACACCAGGTGACATCCCACGGAGTCCAACCCGTCACAAATAGGCCTTAACATATTTCATATTGTCATTTCAAATATAAGTTTTAAGTCAGCACAATTTTTAACAATAAACCTGTATTTATATTTTAAATATGATTTTTTATTAAAAAATAGTAATAATTGATTTTTATCCATCCTGCCATCAACCATGTTATACATTGTAACCTTTCCAGAACTGAGTTTTTAGATTTATGGCAAGGGTGGCCAGAGCATTGCATAGATATCCTTTGGTGAGGAATGGTTTATATGTTTTTTAAGATCAAAACTGAAAAAAATAAACATACTGGACTTCCAAGCATTGTGTAGCTGCTACACAACAGAAAGACATTAATATTTTTCCCAGATGATGGGCAGTATCAGTTAAACACTGTTCTCAATTTATACTTCACCTCCTCTTCTTCCTGAAGTCTTCTCGTGGCCTCTTCCTTTTCCTTCCTGAGCCTGAAATCTTCTTGAGCCTTTTCTTCTCTCAGCAACCATTCCTCATGTAGTTTTTGCCTACCAATAAAATCAGATGCTACTTAGCAAGAAAAGTTCAGTGTTCATCAGTAATCTGTGGACATACTTTTGTTTATATTTCAGCTGCCATGGTTGCAGACTTATTAAATATAGTTATAATATCTTGCTGTGTTAAATAATTATAAGTTTTTTTTCTTAACATTACATTTCCCCAAAAAGGTGCTTATTCATGTTCTTTTGAATTCTGTTGCCAGATTATGAGTTTCTTGGGATATGCTTCCAATCAATAGATCAACATTAATTCTGGGCAGGACTAGAACATAATTTAATATGGTTTCAGAGTAGCAGCCACATTAATCTGTATCCACAAAAAGAACAGGAGTACTTGTGGCACCTGAGAGACTAACACATTTATTAGAGCATAAGCTTTCGTGGGCTACAGCCCACTTCATCTGATGCATAGAATGGAACACATAGTAAGACAACATATATATATATATACACACACACACACACACAGAGAAGGTGGAAATTACCATACAAATTATAAGAGGCTAATTAATTATGATGAGCTATTATCAGCAGGAGAAAAAAACTTTTGTAGTGATAATCAAGATGGCCCATTTAGACAGTTGACAAGAAGATGTGAGGATACTTAACATGGGGAAATAGATTCAATATTTGTAATGACCCAGCCACTCCCAGTCTCTATTCAAACCCAAGTTAATGGTATCTAGTTTGCATATTAATTCAAGCTCAGCAGTTTCTTGTATGATCAGCCATATGTTTGCGGGCCATAATAGTCAGCCATATGTTTGTTGCTTATCCTAGGAGCTAAAACTAGGCAAAATAAACTGATTGAAATTTTCCAATTTAGTGATTTTGGTTAAATTGTTGCATATATTATGGACACAAGGAAATCCAGTTTCTCTGAAATTGCTGCGCACAGAAAACTCTGTTTGATCCACAGTTACCGGATATACTCGTTCATAAGCTGAATATTTTTGGTAAAAACGTGACGCATCAAAGAGCGGGGGTCGGCTTATAAATGGGTCTATACCAAAATGTGATGATTTTAAACGTTATAAAATCATTGAATTGATTATCTATTGTCGTTTTGTTTACCTGGAGCATCTGCAGGCATGGAGCCCCTCAGTTCCCTGTGGCCACGGTTCACCGTTCCCAGTCAAATTGGGACGCTGTGAATGCTCCAGGTAAACAAAGCGTCCCGACCCGCCAGTGGCTTACCCTGGGCCAGGAACCAAAGTTTGCCAACCCCTGAAATATAGGGTTGGCTTATGAAAGGGTCATACAGTTTTTACTGTTTTTACCTATCCATCTTGGGGAGTCGGCTTATAAAAGAATGGGCTAATGAACGAGAATATATGGTAATTTTTCAGAGAAATCTGACTGTACGCTACATAATATGGACAAAAATAGATTTTGATTTACAAAATATAATTGTCAGAGATTTCAACATGAAATTAAATAAAAGACTAAACAACAATTTTTCAACTGCAGATATTATTTTAAACTCTAGATTATTTACCTTTCAGCCTCAAGTTGTTTTTCCTCTTCTTCCAGTTCCTCCTCTTCAGGCAATGGTTCACTTTTTTCTGTGATTTCTGAGGAAAAAGTAACATGTCCCTGTACATACATCTAAATATAATTTTTCTCCTGGTCCTCATCACTATGTATAACAGAAATACTATAATATAAACCTTCAAATTAGAGCTACCCTAGTTTTTTTTTTAAATTAGTTTCTCCTTAAACTAAACATCAAAAATACCATTTCTTCAAAGATATTCATGTGTTAGTGTACATGCTTTCCTTTACTCTTGTAGGCTTAAACTTAAGATTCATTTAAAAAACCTGTAAGAACATACAAAAATATTTACTACATATTGTTTTAAGTCATCTGACACTGTATGTGGGTAATAATGCACTACATGCTCAGATCTCCTAAAGAAAAATTCTATTTTATAAATCTCATTCTTCTGGAGCATCATTAAAATCGTATGTCTTCTGGTCCTTCAGATAACGTTGCTCACATTTTAATGTCTCCTTTTCCTTGTGACAAGAAAAAATAACTTGTACATCCTTACAAAGTAGCAACAAAAAAGACTTATCTATTACCTGAATCTCTTAATCTGGCAAGCGCTTGTCTCTTTTTCTTTCGTTTTTCTTTCTTCAGAATAGCTTTGTATTTTTTATGGCTAAAGATGGTAAAGTACATCACTTGTATTATGAAAAGTTATCAGAACATTTTTGTTGTATAGTTAAACATTTCAAGTTTGTCATCAACACAAAAGTCATAAAATCAAATATGCTACATAACACCAAATATTCACAGAAGCAGTATTACTATAAAAGTTTCAGACATTACTTTAAAAAAAGCAGCAAAACTTGACTTTAGAACTTCGTCTGGCCAATAATTAAGGCTACTAATTAAAGCTCGCTACTGCTTTTGACATTACAACGTTGATCACACATGCCTGATCACACATGCCTTATCACGTTCTTCTTTGACTTATAACACGTAGGGACATGAGGCTAGCACTGACAGTTGTTTACTCCACTTTCTCCCAATTATTCTCACATCTCCCCTATTATTCCTTGGGCATCTCTTTTGGTGGGTCCTCTTCCTCCTCTCTTTTGTTGTCTGTAGGCCCCTTACAACTCTGTCCTTGCCTTCTACCCCTTCTAAATATTGTCTGGGTGTGTAAATACTACAGATAATTCTGAGATCTACCTTTCCAATTCTAATTTCTAGCCAATAGCACATCTCAGTCTGCATCTGACAGCTCTGCATCAATGTGGCTCTCCATCAAGGTAAATTTACTGCAGCCAAAACTGAACTCATGATAATTTCCTTCTGAAAACTTCTCCCCTTCTCCAATTTCCCGGCACTGTTACCACCATCTCTAGCCTTCCTCTCATTCTGGCCTGTAATTGGGCCTGGTGGAAAGAGAGCGAGAAGAATCCTCGTTGACTTCTCTCTTTCTTGCCCCAAATATTCAGGCACGAGCTAAACATATTGCTGCTTCATCCTCCACAACACATCTACAGGGGAGAGAGGGGGCGCTGACTAACCGCACGATGCAGACGGGATAGGCGCAGCGCGGGGCAGGGATCCTGCTTATGTCGCTGCAGACTTTGGCGCGGGGCGGGGGGGGGGGGGGAAGGGGAGCTCCCAGGCTCCCCGTTGTTGCTAACGGCAGCACAGGGCGGGCGGGGGGAATCTCCCACCGGCACAGCGGCCCGGGCGGGCCCGGCACCGGGGAGCGGCCCCCGGTGGTGCCAGCGTCAGGCAGGGCGAGGGGTCGTCACAGCAGCGCCCCCAGACTCACCCCAGCTTTTCCGGGGCCCCCGCGGGGATCAGCATGGGGGCCGCCATGTTGTGCAGGGAAGGAGGACGTCACATGATACGAAACCGGAAGAGAATAAAGCGGCGCCTTCCTTCCGTTTCCCTGGGTCGGGCGGAAGCAGGGACTGGTGTGTAAAACGGCGCATGCACGACACGGGGACGACGGCTAAACCTGCGCATGCGGAGGGGTGAGTGTCGGCTGCGGTGCGCATGTGCGGCGGGCGGGGCGAAGGGACGCGGGGGCGGGATTGGTGCTGTGATTTGATCCCAGACGGGGGGGGGGTTGTGCTCGTGCGCGCGCCTCTTTCCTCGGGGACCCGTGAGCCCCTCCGCGCGCTCGGCGTGTCACACAGGGCCGGAAATACCCCTGGGGAGGGGGTGGCCGCGCGGGCACAAGCCGGTCCGGAGAGAGGCGAGGCCCTGGCACGTCACGGCCACTCACCCCGCCCCGCGTTTGCGTGTCCAGCCGTTGGGTCCCTGCGCGCGCCCGTTGCAGCCGCCGCTGCTGCTGCTGCTGCCGCCCCCTCCCGGCCCCCGCCCGCGCGCACGCGCAGGCCGCGCTGGAGCGAGGCAGGAGCCGGGTCCCGGCGCTGCCGCCCCGAGGGGCGGGCAGAGGCTGGTGCCGAGCGGCGGAAAACAGGCCACGCCCAGTGCGGTGCGCGGGGGGCCGTCGTCACGCGCACGGAAGGTGACTTGCGTAGTTTAAGGGATGGGCCCGGGGCCTGTGGCCGCATAGTTTGCGCAGAGTGGATCTTAAATCCTTAAAACTCTTGGGGGGGCGGGGGAGCCCTCTCTCCAAGTTACGGCCTTGCAGGTGTGCTTGGCTGAAGCCTGGCCCTAAAGTGCTCCGTGCGCGTCTTGCTGCAGTGCCTGGCTGTACCGGGCCGGGGGGGGGGGGGGGCTTCTTCCCAGTGCTAACCACTCCTTCACTTTTTTTGAAGTTTCATTTGTATTTATTAGGCAGGCAATACAAAGAGATTCACTTAGATTTCTGACTCTGCGCTTGTGCCTTCAACACTTTCACAACAGCCTTCTGCTCCTCAATAAGGAAAGCTGGTTTGAGTCTGTCACAGACACATTTAGCACACGTGGAACCGCCATAGGCTCTCCTAACCTGCTTCTTTGTTTTTGACAACCTTATAAGGACTTTAGGGTGCAAAGCACGAACACCGCGAAGTCTTCCTGGACACGCACTACATGCAGACTTTGGTGCCTTGCCAACTTTCTTAGTGTAAAGGTAAACAGTCCTGTTACCTGGTGTCCGGGACAGCCTGGTCTTGTTAGAGGCTGTGTCGTAGGACAACCTACGACAGTATGTCAGACGCTGAATCATTTTTTATAATTACCCCATATTTCTCACACACATGCACTTGGTTTCCACACCCAGAACCCAGAATTTCCAGCAGGGCATTCTCACTTTCTGTCCAAAATATCCCAGAGGAATTCTATCTTCCTGGACAGATGTGCTCTGTACAGGCTGGTAGGACACTACATTTGAAGTGTCTCTCTAGGACGGGGGAAAGAGGTGATATTTATTGTTTAGACAGTTTGGAACTAAATAATTATATCCAAGTCTGAGTGCAGGATCTGGGAATGTGCAGGAAATCCAAAACGTGGAATGGAGTCAAATTTCTCTGAAAAATTACTGTATATACTCGTTCATTAGCCCATTCTTTTATAAGCCGACCCCCCAAGATGGATAGGTAAAAACTGTATGACTCTTTCATAAGCCGACCCTATATTTCAGGGCTTGGCAAACTTTGGCTTTCGGCCCGTCAGGGTAAGCCACTGGCAGGTTGGGACATTTTGTGTATATGACATAACTGGAATATGTTTTGTACTACATATGCCATGTAACATATCTCTGCAAAGGTTATGATCTACTAAATATATTCATCCTATTTGTATGCATGTATCTTTTTTATTTGAAGTTATGAATATTGGCTGTGTACTTGTTTGATTTTCAGTTGCCTCAGTAAGGCATTTGGTCAGCTTCTTAAGAACGGAATTTGCAAGTGTCCAATCAAGAAACACTTGACGGACAGTGGAACCTTGGAAGACTCCAATCCACATAAGAAGTCTACCTGAGGATGTTCAAGATAGCATGTGAACAATGGCTGCCACCTGTAAAGTTCTGAGTCATGCATGGACATGTGACTTGCCCATGTGACTCCCAAAACTTCAGCTTGTAGCTACGTTCTGCATAGGAGAGAGAAAGGGGTCTCCACCCACAAGAGACAGTCTATGTAAGCCCCTGGGAGACCCCTCCATTCTGTCTTCAGCTGGTTCAAGAGATAGCCTCTCCACCCCAAAGGATACCTGAAAGAAGCTGGAACAAAGGATAGTAACTACACAGGTGTGAGTGATTGCTGGACCCAGACTAGAAGGAGGCTAGTCTGTAAAAGAGGTTTATTGGAACATCTCTGAGGGTGAGATTTTATCTGTATTCAGCTTCTTACTGGATTAGGCGTAGACGTGCGTGGTTTATTTTATTTTGCTTGGTAGTTCACTTTGTTCTGTCTGTTATTACTTGGAACCACTTAAATCCTACTTTTTGTATTCAATAAAATCACTTTTTACTTATTAATTAACCCAGAGTATGTATTAATACCTGGGGGGGGGGGGGACAGCTGTGCATATCTCTATATCAGTGTTATAGAGGGCGAACAATTTGAGTTTTCCTGTATAAACTTTATACAGGGTAAAATGGATTTATTTGGGGTTTGGACCCCATTGGAGCTGGGTACCTGGGTGTTGGAGACAGGAACACTTCTTAAGCTGTTTTCAGTTAAGCCTGCACCATTTGGGGGATGTGGTTCAGACCTGGGTCTGAGTTTGTAGCAGGCAAGCGTGTCTGGTTCAAACCAGGCAGGGCACCGAAGTCCCAAGCTGCCAGGGAAAACGGGCTCAGAGGTGGTCTCGGCACATCAATTGGCAATCCCCAAGGGAGTTTCTGTGATCCAGCCCGTCACGGTATGTTTAGTTACATTTCCATTATTTTAATGATAGTCAGTATGGGTCCAATCCAACTTCTGACTGAATAATGGGAGTTTTTCATTTACTTTAATAGGAGCTGGATTGGGCCCTATATCCTCCAACATTGACCTATCATTTGGGGACCCCATGTTCACTTGGAATCTGATCCTGCACATTTTTGAGTACTTCAAGAGGTGCTGAGTGCCCTGTGATCCCTCTGAACTCCGTGGAACTGCTAGTCATCTTATAGGGTTGGGTCCATACTGCCTTTAGTTACATTTCCGTGAATGATTAAATGCTGACAGTAGCACATTGCACATAAGAGTTAATTTTTAGTCCCAAGTGGTAGTGATTAACTTTCTCAGAATTTAAAACTATTAGTTGGTCAAACAGAAAAAACAGGATTAAGCACAGCTATGGTTGTTAATTAACTTATATGACAGCTGTCAATAAAGAGAGAAAGTGGGGTAAGGTACTGTCTTTTATTTTGGACCAACTTCTGTTGGTGAGAGAGACAAGCTTTTAGTCTCTCTCACCAAGAGAAGCTGGTCCGTTCAAAGATATTCCCTCACCCACTTTGGTCTCAGGATATTAGAGAGACAACATGGCTACAACAACACAGATATCAATAAATACTTGTTTCTTGGGACTTTCCATTTCAAAGGCATTTAAATGTGGGGAGGAAACAGAATAGTACCTTGCTAAATCTACTTTAATTGTCACGGGAGATAACTGCAAATCAAAGTCATATACCTACTTCAATGCATATCTCAGCCTTACCTCGACATGCTTAAAAATCAAAATGAAGGTATAATTTTATGTATATACTTATAAATTCTATAGATATTTTTGAGGATTCTACTATTTAGAAATATCAGTTATCTTGTATTTTGAACCAGTCAGTCATATTCATGTTTAGGGAGGTTGTGGAATCTCCAGCATTGGAGATTTTTTAGAGCAGGTTAGACAAACACCTGTCAGGAATGGTCTAGATAATATTTAGTCCTGCCACGTGTGAAGGGGACTGGATTAGATGACCTCTCGAGGTCCCTTCCAGTTCTATGATTCATACTAAATTATTTGCACTAGTTCAATGATATTTCTAAGAAGTTAATCAAATATCAGATTCTGTGTTGCTGTCTCTTGTAATTCAAAGATGGCTAAAAAGGATTTTCTCTCATAAAGTCATTACAAAAGATGAACAGTTTCAAAACTTTTTATGTTGAATTTTTTTAAAATGTTTTTAGATGCACCATATGTGCATCTAAAAATGTCATGTGAATGTTTTGATGAATGATGTGTAAACATATGAGTACACACGTGCAAGCAGATTTACACATCAAATCAGAAGGGAAGAAGAGTGGGTTTGAAAAAGACTTGTACATGCATTTGAATTTCTCATTGTGAACATATGAAGGATAATTCCAAAATGGTGTGTGCCTTTTACAGTTATGCTGATATGCTCAGCTTGTAGCATAAAAAGACATGAACTTGTGATACCCTATATCTCCTTTTCTAGCATTTTTACTGGTATGTCTTCGAGCTGGCTGGATGACGACAGTTCCATTTAGAATGATTTCAAAATTTGGCTTCATTTCAGATCGGAGGAATTATTTTTTTTGTCTTTTGCTCAAAATGTTTTGTTTCAACAAAATCAGAATGTTTCATTTTGATTTCTGCTTTCTAAAACAATTATAATAAATTGGGGAAAAAAGTAATTTGAAAATGAAAAATCAAAGCATTTTATTCTAACAATATCAAAACAAGGTTTATAGAGACTATTATGTCAACTTTATAAGCTTTGTAGGTCTTCCTGGGCTGGAAAACAACTGGTTTAAACAGCGCTTCAGTGCGTGTGTGTGTGTGTGTAATGAGTTCCAGAAAAAAGGAAGGTAGCCTTATTTTTGACCATCTCTGATCCTCAGGTATTTGATGTGTTTCACAGTTTTCAGTAAATTCAGGCAGAGGAGGCCAACTAGAAAATGTATGACAGAAATTTGAGGAGTAATACAGTCCATGTAAAATTGAAACAGGTGAGTTGTGTTTTTTTTAAACAAAGAGTACAAAAAGAAGGTGAAACCATTGAAGAGTTTGTGACTGGTGTAAGGCTGAAAGAGCCAATCATGCATTTTTGGGGGATATCTCTGATTGTAACTGTGGGGCACCTTCATGGGATGAGGGTGGGCACCTCTCCCATCCTTTCTGGCTGAAGGGGTTGCTGTTGTGCCTGTTTGGTGTGCAGGATACAGTTTCCTAGCTGTACGTCTTAGGTAGCCGGCTCCCCCACCTCCGAGCATGACCACAGTCCAAACAAATAAAAAGGCAAACAAAGTAATTCTGCAGCCACAAAACAGTCAGGCTCACCTTACTTTTCTCTGCATTTGCTGTGAAGGTGGCTGGGTTCCTAATGCTCCCCCTCCCCCACAACAGTCTGAGAGCCCCAGTTTGAGCACTCTGGGCTCAAATGAAAAGTACAGTGAAGATGGTCCCTCTACCTCTCCAGAGGGCTCAGGTGGCAGAGGTTCTTCAGCAGCTTTTTGGGTAAGTAGCTGTGGTCTGTGGTGCTAGGGAGCTCTAGCTCTGCTTCCCTCTAAGCAGGGGTGTGCACAAAGGGGGGGCAAGCAGAGGCACAACCCCCCAGTAATCTACAGGGTCACAGAACTCTTCTGGCCTCAGGGCTGCAGCTAGGGTTACCACATTTGAAATGCAAAAAAAACTGGCATCACCCCGCCCCCAATACATGCACACAAGGCAAGCCCACCACAACACTAGCCCCCAATCACAAGGCAACTCTGCAACCATTCGTTCTCCTCACTCACACATGACTCAAACCCCTCTCTCACACATGCGTAGTGCACTTGTGGGTGGGTGGGTAGATTGCTGTATTTTCAACAGTTTTGATCTGTTATTGCTTAAACTGCAGAATTGGAAACACTGCAGCTGTACTCAGAAACTTTTAACATTAGATATCCCAGTGTATTGGGATAGTAATGCAAATCTTTAGATCCACATTAAAAAAAAATTCAGCAGATTAAATTATTTTTCTGGCAACTGGCAAATCCATTAAAAAAACATCCAGGCTGGTCAAATACCGGCCAGGTAGTAACCCTAGCTGTGGCAGGGTCACAGATGTCCTCTGGCACCGGGGCCGCAGCAGGGAGAGCGAGCTCCTCCAGCCCTGGGGCCGTGATGGGAGCTGAGAGCTCCTCTAGCCCTAGGGTGTGGTGGGGGCACAGATCTGGCCCCCTGGCCAGAGGAGCTCTCTCTCCTCACCATGGCCCCAGGGCCAGAGGAGCACTCTCTCTCTCCCTGCTGCGGCTCCGGGGCCAGAGGAGCTGTCTGACCCTGCCGCAGCCAAGTACTTGTGGATACATTTATTTAGATGGCTCCACAGCACATGGATTTTCATTGAAATGGTGAGTGTACTGCTGTGTATTTCTATGCATGTATATTCTATGCATATGATGTGTATGTGTTGATAGGATTTAATGTGTATATAATATGTGGGTGTTTAACGTGCCCCTCCAAAAGCAGTCAAATTTAAATTCCTGCACATGCCCCTGCCTCTAAGTGCCACCTGCACTGGGCTGGGATCCTCCCTTTTAAGGAGCCTCCCCTATCCTGGTGCAACAGGTTGGGGCTGATTGTTCCCAGAGAGCTCTTTAATCCCTTCCTGACCAGGCTGAGAACCTATCCCACCACAGGAGACTGAGTCCTTATTTAAGAGACCAGATTGTGATTGGAGAGACTACTGAAAGACCAGAATTAACCCTCAACAAAGCAATTAGAATTTGCCAAGGAGCAGAAATCCCTCAGTTCAGAATGAAGCTTATGGAGCATGGACAGTGCTCTGATGCTGTAGACATGATAGAGAATCCAAAATACAAAAGAAAATAAACCTGAGGCAAAAAAGCATGTGGAGCTCAGAGTCCAGCAAAAACAGTACATGAGGCTGCACAATCAAGACAATGCCCAGCATATGGGAAAAGGCGCAAGGCGTGAAATTGAGTACATCACTTTGCAAGAGTTTTCAAGCACCAGCACAGTATGCACAGTATGGACGATCACCACACCACTAGCTTCTTTTTAGGAGCAGTGAACGTTGTTGCAGTAGAAGACAACTGAACTGTCAATCTGAAAGCATAGGGGACATTTATTACTTTTAAGTTGGCCACTGGTGCACAAGACAATGTGTTGCCAGAAACAGTGATAAAAGCACTAAAAGAAAAGCCACAGATAGTGGAGGGTAAATGGGTGACACTCCTGGCTTACGGTGGTGAGTATATTACCACTTGAGGTATATGTGAACTAAATGTATGGGTAAATAACAAATTGGAAAAGATATAATTTGTAACAGTACCAAGGAAAACAGCACCCATTGTTGGGTTAAAAGTGTGTCAAGCCCTTGGTCTCATCGAGAGGGTGCGTTCATTGGACGCTAAAGCAACTGAAGAGTTGGAGGATGTCTTACATGGGATAGAGAAGCTCTCACCAGAGTACAGAATAGATATGAAAGAGCCTATGCATCCCACATTCAACCTCAGGCAGAAACTAAAAGATGTGCCGGATAGGCTCATTACTCTAAGAATCATAATATAAATAGAAAATCAACAGA